AGCTACCTGGATGCCCTTCAGTCCAAAGGCCCACACACCTCTCTCTCTACCTGCATCTCCTGTCACAGCTACACTCACTGTCACAACTGTAGTTTTTCCTTTTCCTTAAACATCTCCCATCCTTTCCCCTTCTAACCTTTGCTCTTGGTCTTCCCTCTGGAGGTAATACCAAGGCTGACTCCTCATCTCTCAAGGCTCCGCTCAATTCTACTTCCTCAGGAGCCCTTCCCTGACTGTCTTAACCCAGATAGGCCACCCCCATCACCCTCTCCTTACTGACACCTATTCAATCCCATTTCCCTATTTTATTTTCTTCATGGCCCTGCTCTCTCTCTCTCTCAGATATTTCCATTAATTCATTTACTTATTTATCATTTGCCTCCTCCCATCAACATGTGAATGCCATAAGAGCAGGGACATTGTTGGCTCCATCCACAGCTGTATCCTTGGAGTCTGATAAACCCAGACACTCAAATATTTGTTAAATACTGTAGAATCTGTTGGTTTATATTTAAAACAAAGAGGTTAAAAGCATGGGGCTGGTCAGGCACAGTGGCTCACACCTGTAATCCCAGAACTTCTGGAGGCCAAGGTGGGCAGATCACCTGAGATCAGGAGATCAAGACCAGCCTGGCCAACATGGTGAAACCCCATCTCTACTAAAAATACAAAAAAAAAAAATTAGCCCAGCATGGTAGCATGTGCCTGTAGCCCCAGCTACTGGGGAGGCTGAGGCACAAGAATTGCTTGAATCCGGGAGCCAGAGGTCACAGTGAGCCAAGATCACACCACTGTACTCCATCCTGGGTGACAGAGTGAGACTCCATCACAAACAAACAAACAAACAAAACAAAAAGCATGGGTTTGGAAGTAAAGTGGGCTTGTGTGATCTTCCCACCTACCAGCTGGGAGAAGCCATGTCCTCTCTGACCTTTCTTCTCCTTTATAAAAGAAATCAAGGGCTCACTCCATGGAAGTTATCATGATTAATTTTAGAGTTGTGTTTTCTCTATGAGCCCAAGCACTTTGGCAGACACTTTGTCATTAATCTTTGTATCCACTATGCCTTGAAACATCACCTTACCACTGCAGCATCCTCTATTTCTTATTACAGGACATGTCACAGTGTCCCAAAGAGTCTATTTATTCCTCTGTCTCCTCCAATATGGTGACTACATGCGGACATGAACGTCTAAGCAGCCTAGCGCAGTGCCCACGGTAGAATGGATGCATAGTGATTAAGACTAACAGGCACTAATGTGTCTTCCAGAAATGTATTTTGAACCAAGTCCTCTTTAGAAAGGACATTAATATATGAATTAGAATATAAATTTTAATGCATGAATTTTAAATACATGAATTAAAGAATAATAGCAGATAGTATATGATCAAGTGCCGAGTTACACATATTCAGGTAATAAAATGTGTAATACAGATATCGGATGGCAAAGGTGGCCAACAGAGAGCTTCCTGGACCAGGCAAGGGACCTAGGTAGGTGAGGTGTGGGGGGCAGGGACTGGGTCCAACTGGAGAATACATTTCACCTGCAAGGCAACTACCACTTCTCTCCAGCAATTTATTGCCATCCTGGAGCATGGGTCTGACGGTCTCATATCTTTATTTTATTTATTTATTTTGAGACAGAGCCTCTCTCTGTCTCCCAGGCTGGAGTGCAGTGGTACGATCTTGCAACCTTTGCCTCTCAGGTTCAAGCCATTCTCCTGCCTCAGCCTCCCGAGTAACTGGAATTACAGGCATGACCCACCACACCCGGCTACTAATTTTGTATTTTTAGTAGAGAGGGGTTTTCACCACATTGGCCAGGATGGTCTCGATCTCCTGACCTCAGGCAATCTGCCTGCCTCAGTCTCCCAAAGTGCTGGAATTATAGGCATGAGCCATCACACCCAGTTAAGTATCCTATCTTTAGATTTTTCAAATGAAACTGGAAAGGTGAATTTTTATGTGATATCTCCCAGGTTTTCAAATTTTTGACAACTAGCTTAAAATTATTCAACAACTATTTGAGATGAGCCAAGCATTTTGAGAGCTATGCTATAACCTCTGACCAAGTGCTCTAGGTGACAAGATGGAGGTTGAACCCTCAACAGGCATTGGTGGAAGAATCTACACTAGAGGCCAACTCTCAAAAGACATTTACTCACTCACTCACTGACTCATAAAACCAGGATGCAATTCTTGACCTATGGCCATATTTTCCCCTAAGGCATCCATTAAGCATTTATTGAGTACCCACTCAGTGCTAGGCATTCAGATATAAAATAACTCAGGGCTCATTCCCTCTGAGACTTTATAGTTGGTCAGTTCAAGATATGTTGTTGAGCCAGGTGTGGTAGCTCACGCCTGTAATCCCAGCACTTTCGGAGGCTAAGGCAGGCAGATCACCTGAGGTTGAGATTTCGAGACCACCCTGACCAACATGGAGAAACCCTGTCTCTACTAAAAATACAAAGTCAGCCAGGCATGGTGGCACATGCTTGTAATCCCAGCTACTCTGGAGGCTGAGGCAGGAGAATTGCTTGAACTCAGGAGGCGGAGGCTGCAGTGAGCCAAGATGGTGCCATTGCACTCCAGCCTGGGCAACAAGAGCGAAACTCCGTCTCAAAAGAAAAAAAATTTAAAAAGATAGTTCTTGAGCCACTATTATGCACCTGAGAACAGCTCATCAAATGAAAAGGAGAGACACCTAGACAGCTAAGCATTGCTTCCTCACCTGCCAGATCTCTGACCTAGAGTGCTGGTAGCAAATTGTCACACTACTGTGTCCTTCTCTCAATTCAGTTCTCCCATCCCCAGACATCTCAGTAGCACCTAGGAGCAAAGTGGCCTCCCAAATCAGACAGTAGCAGAAGTCTCCCAATCTGATAAACATAGGATGACCAGCCATAATCTCTATAAACCTAACTCTTGTCTATAATGGAGATCATATGATGGTGACGAATATCACTCAGGTAACAGCAGCCCCCAAACCATTTGCTATCAAATGTCTGGGGTGTGGGGGACTCATCAAGTCACATGTGCCTGAGGTCTTGGGACCCAGCCAGTGAATAAGTCTAAAACACCTCTAAGATGGAGCACTCTTTAGTCTGAAACTACTGAAATAGCATCCACACAGCACCCAGTAGTCTCACATTGGCCAAACTTTTACTGTGATCTCAAACTTGCTGAAGGACTGATTTCTATCTCAGCCCTGCCAATATTGTTTGGACTCAAAATTACATAAGTAGATCGATTTTTATTTTTTTCTCTCAAACTGGAAAGGATCACAGTAGTGCTAGTATATTCCTGTTTCCACTGGCTGGTTATACACACTGGAAAAAAAAAAAAAAAGAGTCAAAAGAAAGCAATGGAAGACGGAGTACAGGTCTTGAATTGCATACTGAAGTCCCCCACGAATTAGTTTGGGTGCTTGCAGTAGCACCTAAACTTGTTTATTGTGAACTGAGCTGTTAATCCTCCACCCTCAACCGATCCATTATTTTTTTTAAAAAAATCAGCAGCAACAACAACAACAACATAAAACACATCAGTAGCCTACATTTTAGATAAAAGAAAAGAAACCAGTGGGGGGATGGGAGTGTCTTTTGTGGTGGAGGTTAGGAAGCAGCAGTGGTCTCCTGTCACTTCCCTAAGTCAACAGGAAGGAACTATATCCTCCAGGGATCTCTACTAAGGACAATTAGGCAATTCCTGCATCTCCTAGACTCCCCCAAAAAGCTGTCAGAGCTGAACAATTTCTCCCACTACCCAACGAACTGGTACCTCCCTGGAAATAACAGTTTATGAACTTTGTACTAACTTCCAGGGACATCTAATAAACACAGCGGTGGTCTTGGGACCCAGCCAGTGCCTAAGTCTTCGTTCTGTTTTATACTGTTTCCTTTCTGTGATTTTCTTTTCTACCCCAAAGTTTCTCATTACTAATGCTGAAAACACCTCTGAGATGGAGCACTCTTTAAGCCGTTCTGGTAAAGAATCCTTTCTTGCGGCCAGGTGCGGTGGTTCACGCCTGTAATCCCAGCACTTTGAGAGGCGGCGGCGGCCGGATCCCGAGGTCGGGAGATCGAGACCATCCTGGCCAACATGGTGAAACCCCATCTCCACTAAAAATACACAAAATTAGCCAGGCGTGGTGGCGGGCGCCTGTAGTCCCAGCTACTCCGGAGGCTGAGGCAGGAGAATCGCTTGAACCCGGGAGGCGGAGGCTGCAGTGAGCCGACATCACGCCACTGAACTGCAGCCTAGGCGACAGAACAAGACTCCGTCTCAAAAAAAAAAAAAAAAAAATCCTTTCTTGTGACCTTTAGGGCAAGAAATAAATATATTCCAGGAAAGAAAAGAAACGACTGTTCCCTGCCCCCAGATACTCTGTGGAAAAAGGAGGTGAAAGGAAAAAGGCGCAAACTCCAAGCTCTCCCCTCCTTTATCATTCCCACACTGGCAAGTTGTGTTTGCCTTCCAACTTCTGCGAGCTCTGCAGATCGTAAGGAAAGCGGTGCTCAACGCACCAGCCCAAGCCGGCGGGTGGATTACTTACCGGGGGGATTTAAACCCGCTCTGGCGCGGAGGCGTGGCGGGGCGGAACCCCGCGGCCCGGGTGGGCGGGGCGGGGGCGGGGATCCCGGCGGCACGGCGCTACGTGAAAAAGACCGAAGCTCGGAGAGTGAGCGCCTGTCTCTTTAAATGTCACGGGCTGCGCTCCCGCCCGGGAGCCCGGAGCCGGATCTACAATCCGGTCCCTCCCGCTCCAGCGCTTGTTGCTCACCCGGCCCGAGCGGGAGCTCTTGCCGCCTGGCTGCGAGGCTGCCGTCTTCTCCTCCTCGCGCCCCACTTCCCCCGAGAGCTGGCTGAGGAGGGGAGGCAGCCCCAGCTGGCGGGAGGAGGCGCGGTGTGAACAGTGATTCCCCCCGCCTTCAAGTATCGGGGCGCTACGTAGCCGCGGGGGAAAGACATGCCCCCCCTCTGTCCGCTGCGTTGCCCTCTGCCCAGCCTCGCTGCCGCCCGCGCCGGGAGAGGAGGGACTGCGGAGCCCACACCTGCAAACTCCCCCTAGAAGTCTCGGGGTGCGGCGGGGAGCCCTTCCCCAGGCCCCACGGCCTCCACCTCTCCGCGGGTGAGTTGGCGCAGGTAACCCGAGCCTGAGGGCGGGCGCGGGGGAGGGGCGGGCGAGCCGGGAGGAGGTAGCGCCGCAGGTGAGTCAGGTAGGGCGACTCACCTGCCCAGGTCGCGCTCTGAGATCCTCGCTCGGTCCCCTGGGGATGGATGTGTTGGTGTGGAGGAGGCGTCCCAGGGGCTAGCTAGGGGCCGAGTCTGCGAGGGGAAGTTAGGAAAGGAGGGGGCATTGGAGTAAAGTTTCTCTTTCCTTCCCTCTTCCTGCCCAAGCTTGGCAGGTGGGGCGCGGGCGGAAGCAATAGAAGCTGCTGATGCAATGGGCTTTTGCCAGGGCCAGGCGAAGGGCTGGGGACAGAGAGAACTGGAGTTGTCCAGTCTCCTGTGACCGTGACCTTAACGAGGGAAACCTCGCTACACCCGAGACTCCCCCTAAAATGGCTCCAGGTGCTGAGTCCTCACCGTTTCTTCCTTCGGAACAAAACGCCCTTTTCGCGGAGGGGCTCCTACATGGCTTTCTTGCCTTCCTCTCCCAACAGGTGGCCTCAGCCCCTGTCCGGGTACCTGTGCCAATGACCCTAGTGGTGGTTTCGCTTTCTCCCCTCGCGGCGGTGTGAACGTGTGTCCGCAGCGTGATGGGCAACCAGGTGGAGAAACTGACCCACCTAAGTTACAAGGAAGTTCCCACGGCCGATCCGACTGGCTTGGACCGGGACGACGGGCCCCGCATCGGGGTCTCCTACATTTTCTCCAATGACGATGAGGACGTGGAGCCGCAGCCGCCGCCTCAGGGGCCAGATGGCGGCGGCTTGCCCGACGGTGGGGACGGGCCGCCGCCCCCCCAGCCTCAGCCTTACGATCCGCGGCTGCACGAGGTGGAATGCTCCGTGTTCTACCGGGACGAGTGCATCTACCAGAAGAGCTTCGCGCCGGGCTCGGCGGCGCTGAGTACCTACACACCGGAGAACCTGCTCAACAAGTGCAAGCCGGGCGACCTGGTGGAGTTCGTGTCGCAGGCTCAGTACCCACACTGGGCCGTATATGTGGGTAACTTCCAGGTGGTGCACCTGCACCGGCTGGAGGTGATTAACAGCTTCCTGACGGACGCCAGCCAGGGCCGTAGAGGCCGCGTGGTCAACGATCTGTACCGCTACAAGCCGCTGAGCCCCAGCGCCGTGGTGCGCAACGCGCTGGCGCACGTGGGCGCCAAGGAGCGCGAGCTGAGCTGGCGAAACTCGGAGAGTTTCGCCGCCTGGTGCCGCTACGGCAAACGCGAGTTCAAGATCGGCGGCGAGCTGCGCATCGGCAAGCAGCCCTACCGGCTTCAGATTCAGCTGTCGGCGCAGCGCAGCCACACGCTCGAGTTCCAGAGCCTGGAGGACCTGATCATGGAGAAGCGTCGCAACGACCAGATCGGGCGCGTGGCTGTGCTGCAGGAGCTCGCCACGCACCTGCACCCGGCGGAGCCGGAGGAGGGCGACAGCAACGTGGCACGGACTACGCCGCCTCCCGGGCGCCCCCCTGCGCCCAGCTCCGAGGCGGAGGACGGAGAGGCGGTGGCATACTGATGGGCGAGCTGAGCGCTGAACTGTGAAGGGGAGCTGTTTGCAGTAGCAGCCGCTGCCCCCTTTCTCCCTCTTTTTCTCCCTCCTCCGCCACCGTCTGGGCCCCATCTGGGATTTCTGGGCCCTTTGGAAAAGAGTTGGTGAAATGTGCAGCCGGCTGTGGACGGGGGAGGAGGAAGGGGACAGAGGGAGCAGGTAGGAAACATTTTAGCTGGGTGCTGGGGGGTGGGGGGCTCTCCCTCCCTTCCCTAAATCTGTCTTCCTTTCCGCGGTGGGGCAAACTGGGCTTGCCTGGCACTTAATGCTTGTTAGATCTGGGTTTATAATCGGCCATTCTTAATCACGTGGGGTTGGAGAAAAGTTCAGAGTACCCATTACTGCCGTAGCTTCCTACCCTGGGTTTGGAAAAATCGTGGTACGAAGGCCAAAGCGGGTTTGTGGAGTCGCCACGGCGGGGCCAGCCCGAGAGCTGCTTATCTGCTTTGGTGAAGCAGAGCTGAGCTGTGTATGGGATGCAGGAGGCTGGGGTGATTTATTTTATGGGATTCATGGAGCGTAGGGCTGGTGAATCCATGACAAGGTCTGGGAGCAGCAGACCAAAACCGCAGGAGCCTCCTATTAAGTGTAACAAATAGTTAAGCAAACTCCAGCTACAAACAAAGACTTTGCTACCTCCCTTCTACACAACCCCCAAGTAATTAGTCTTCAGGAGCTGGCTTTTAGCTGAGGCTCCGGCTACCTCCTGCTCCCCCCGCCTCTTTCCAGGTTAAAAGTAAATCATTGTCAAGGGCCAGCCAGGGGAAGGTTTCAATTAAGGTTCTGTTCTGCTGCCTTTGTTTCTCTCCTGCTGTTCTAGACACTTACGGCTGCGTTGTTATGAAAGGAGGGAATGGCCCTTTGTGTCTTTGATCTAATTAAACCTGCTCGGCTGTGTTCATGGGCAGGGCAGGTCACAGATAGGGTTGGCTGTGCCACCCCATAAAATATCTACTGTGGAAGCAGCCACAAAGGGCTGCCCTGGCAGGAATTAGTCTCTCCTTTTACTCCCTTTCCTGAAGAGTGAAGGGAGCCCTTTTAAAACAAAGATTTGGTAGTAATCCTGTGATTTTTTTTTTTTCTTCCCCCACCCCCTCACTGGCCCATCCCCCCTCACCCTCACTTTTGATCTCCTGGTGGTGAAATCTTAGGCTGAACATGTATTTCAATGGCAAGATACTTGATACTTATTTTGCTACCCACACTTAATGCAATTTAGTTCAAGGTGCACAGTCTTGTACTGTAGCAGTCTCCTGGTTGCCTGGAGAACACCTCCTTTAGAGACCTGTGTTAAATAAGAGGGGCAGTGTTGATCACAGGTGCCACCCGGTTAGTCAGCACCGAATCTGACTTTGGTGACAGTCCTAAAGCACAGTTGGTGATTGTGAGATCTGTTAGTGGCAGACTGAGCAGATACTACTTGGTTTGCATAGTATGAGACATTTTCCATCTAGCCTGTCTCTTAAATTTCTGTGAGATCTTAATGATGTTTGCCTCAGTTGCAGAATAGCTTCTCTGCTGCACATTGCCGTTGCTGTCTCAAAAGTTGAGTGAAGTTAGAGGTTCCTTTTTTTTCTTTTTCCTCTCTTGGGAGTCATAAACTACTGTGTACAAGTCATTTTGTGATGCAGTTCTTAACAGTTGGAATAGAATCGTAGCCGAGTGTCCACAAGCATGGCTCTCCTAAGTCGAGGCAACAAAACTTAAAGGATTTTCTAGTATACTTGTTTCACACATGGACGTTGAGGCCATTCTCTAAAAGCTTGGACCTTTGTAGCTCCTCAACGTGAAAGGGCGTTAGCTGTGTTACCTGTTTTTACAGTGATCACCAAACAGATCTGGCCACTTTGATTGTTAAAGATGAACTTCATTCTGGCCCTGGTCTGGGACTTTGGAGGGAGATGAATTTCTTGTTGGAAATGTAGATCTGGTGTCCATATTCACAGCTTTGTGTTTATTCTCTTTGCTCATCGAATAGCAGAGCAAGATAAACATGGGTTCAGACATTTAAGAGAACCTGCTATATCTAGCTGGGTTGGGTTTTCTTTCATGCTTAACGCGGTAGTGAAAATAGAAGGTAGGCCGGGCGCGGTGGGTCACGCCTGTAATCCCAGCACTTTGGCAGGCTGAGGCGGGTGCATCACCTGAGGTCAGGAGTTCGAGACCAGCCTGGCCAACATGGCAAAACCCTACATGGCAAAATCTCTACTACAAATACAGAAAATTAGCTGGGCGTGGTGGCGGGCACCTGTAATCCCAGCTACTTGGGAGGCTGAGGCAGGAGAATTCCTTGAACCCAGGAGGCGGAGGTGGCAGTGAGCCAAGATTGCACCACTGCACTCCAACTGGGGTAACAGAGCAAGTAATGACCACTGTGTAGACAAGTGGGAGGGAAGAACAGAATGGCACTGTCCAGCTCTGGGCTAGCCAGCTCATTTTCAACTCCGCCACCCCTGCCTCCTTCCTCTGTGCCAGAGTGGAAGGAAAGTAATGTATGGTGACACTGAAGTATAGCAGCGACTGTGTTATGAACAAACTGCTCTAAGAGAGCTCAACTTGAAGGAAGAGCTCCTACAAAATCCACAGCAGCAGTAGCATTTTACCTCTAGAGAAGAGGTTTTCAATAACAGGGCTTGGAAGTGAACTAGAATGGAAATAGGTCTCTTCAAATGCTTTCCCGTCTAATGCAAGTGTTTCTACAGGGTCCCAGAGGTGTGAAATATGTGACACTTAGGAACAGTGATTTTTAGTGGGAATTTTCTTAGGGTTATAACACTCAAAGCAAAAACCAGTAAGAGCTCCAGGAAAGGGGAATGAATGAATTCTTGGTTCTTTCCTCAAGTCGGCAGTGTTGTGGATAAGTGTGTTTTTAATGCCCTGGCAATGGCTACATTTGACACTTTAGAAAAAATAAACATATTTAATAATTTTTGTTTCTCCTTAGGAATAAGACTTTAGAACTGTTTTGTACTGTGAATTACGGATGCTCTTTGAAGGAAAGAAATATCGATTCTAATGTTCTTCAGAAGCTCTGGCAGGGATAAGCAGGACATCGACTGGAACATATGCTAAATGAAAGCAGACAAATTCTATTTTCTTACCTGAGCAAATATTTTATTGAAACTGCTTATGTATGTCAAAGGCGCCCACAACTTCAGCTACACAACTTTTTGTATTGAAAGAACTCCTACTTTTGTAGCTTTTATTTCACATTTAATCGAAAATGACTTTTAGCACTAAAATGCCTAGAAGATTTTACTCCAGACCTATAAGGAAATGTTTAGTTTTTATGAAAAATGACAAGTCAGTGGTTAAACTTCTCATGTCTTCGGCGCTTTGGCCCTAGTAGCGCTGGGCAACACCACGACCACATGGAAACATATTTTTGGAAGCAGAACTTTAATTTTATATAACGTATGCTACGGAGAGCTAAGAAAATTTAAGGACTACTTGTTTTCTATTTTTTTCTTAATAAAATGCAATCCACTGTGTTGAAGACTGTTGATATCATGTGCTCGTCTAACCATGTTTTGTTTTATAAATTAGAATAAAATCTAGTTGTAATCATGGTCATCAAATGGATTTGTTTGGAAAGCCACATCTTTGTGAAATGTTTTTAAATCAGAGTAACTATAAACTGATTCATTCAGCTTTTCGTTTGGTTTTGTTCTTGGCTATCATACTTGTGACTCATGAAGAATTATTTTGGCAAACAGGATAAATTCCACATGCATTTTATTTCCCAGTGAGTTGTATAAACTTTTTGTTGAAGGTTGTATGTTAAATCAATGTTACGTTCTTACATCACTTCTTGAGAAGGAAGTTTTGACTTGAAATTGTATCATTTCCTTCAAAATGAAGGGCAGTGCTTAAATAAAAGATTGATGATATCTTTTAAGCCATTTCCTCTTCACTATGTCTTATTAAAATAAAACCTGTCAAGTTCTTTCGAAAAAATGCTATGAGGGTTTCCAATAAACCATCTATTAAAGTTCACTGGGTTTATATATTTTTTTCTGCTTGAATACCCTTTTTCTGACATTTTTGGTCCAAGTTCAAGCTACTTGGTTTACTATAATTTATCTGAGAACATTAGTGTGCATCACCTTTGTACTGCACAGTAAATATTTTGTTGAACTCACTTAGTGACTGAAAACCCTGCATTACTTTGTGAGAATTAATCACTTATTGCTAAACTATCAGTGGTCATGAAAAATGTCTTGGGAACATACATTTTCAATACATGCTGATTTTTCAGAATCCATGCAAAAACTGCTGGAAACCACACTTATGGAGTCTACACTGGGCAGTCTGTTTAGTAATCCATCGGGAATCTGTGTGGCATCTTAAGTGGCTGCAGAGTTCCAGATGAAGGGAATGTATTTGCCACATAATTACAGAAAATGGGTGAACATAGTCGCGTGGCACCGTTGGCATGATAAGGGATACAGGTGCCAGTGGTTGGTAACAGATGTGGCATCAGACTGCTGCGTGGGTTGCCACTGGGTACACTCCCTAGGTCAATGCCTGAAGCCACCACCACAACAATCCTGTGAGGTTCAAATGCCTGGGCTTTTAAACAGGCTCCTGTGAGAATTTTAAATAGGAAGAAAGTTGAATGAAGGTTATAGGGAGCCCAAGCAGCAATGAGGCCATTTATCCCTAAAGTGTGAGTCTAATGTACCATGGCTCTCATTGCATGAGAAAGCAGGGGAAGGGGTGCTTAATACACAATGTGCATTTCTTCTTGGGCGATTTTGATGGAGGTTGTGGTTCCTATTTCTCCTAAGTGGACTGAGTTTGCTTAATGTAGGGAAATGACATGTTTGTAAGTTTCTGAAATTAACAGGCTCAGGATATGTGCAGAAGACCTTTTATTTCCTTTTACTGAATTTTCTGGGGAAACTGCTCATTAAATAGCAATTTTATCTACAGAGTAGATGCAAGAATGGCTAGTGTCTGCATTTGCAGTTGCAGTAAGGTACTGGCTGTCTTTGAAGGGATAGAAGATACTGAGCCCTAGCCTAAGAACTAGAAATAAAGATGTCGAAAATCAGAAACTAAAATTTGGAGGCTCTTCAATTCCCTGTGCCTAACATACGAAGATAAACCTAATCCTGGCCAGATGCAGTGACTCACACTTGTAATCCCAGTACTTTGGGAGGCCTTGGCAAGGGGATTGCTTGAACCCAGGAGTTTGAGACCTACCTGGGCACATGGTGAGACCACCATCTCTACAAGAAATAAACAAAATTAGCCAAATGTGGTGGCACATGCCTGTGATCCCAGCACTCAGGAGGCTGAGGTGGGAGCATCACTTGAGCCCAGGAGGTCGAGGCTGCAATGAGCCAAGATCATGCCACTGGCACTCCAGCCTGAGCAGGTGACAGAGTGAGATCCTGTCACAAAACATAAAAATAGAAAAATAAAGATAAGCCATGTCCATAGTTACTGTCAATCATGTAACTTTCATTCTAATTAAGCTAGGCAGATAACTACTTACCAAAATTGTGATAGGTGAAATAAAGAAAATGTACAAGGTGTATGGAAGAATATGTCCCCTCAATGAGTCAAATGAGGCTTCCCCGAGGAAGTATTTTTGCTGCACCCCAAAAGTGGAGGAGGGAGCAAGGTGCTTCAGAATGAGTGCTGATTACATTAAGGGAGGAAGGCTGAAGAGCGAATAAATGGACCTCAAGTGCTCTCAAAATGCCTTTGCTTCGTGCTTCTGGTACACACCTATTTCTCCTTGGGGCTCTCTTCTACAACATATTGTCCAACTCATTCATATATCTCCAACGCTTACACAGGACCAGACAAACGCCCACTAAAAAAAGTTTGAGTGAGTAAATGAATTTTGAGTTTGGACTTTGCCAGATTAAAAAGCACCTAGATTATCTCAAGATTATGTGACTGGTTTGAAAATAATGAACATAATAGTGATTTTTAGGGTGCATTGAACAGGGAGACCAAGGAACTGACTCTGTCTTCCCTTCCTCTTAGAAGGCAACCTTTAGAGCAGAAGGCAGCTAGAGTTTGTTCTGGGTGGAAGGGTGCTAAGGATGGTTTACATTGCCAGACAGGTTATGGAGTAGATTGTGAAGTCAGGCCGTTGCCCAGGTGCAAATCTACGGACAACTGGCATTGGCCAGGCTGGATGGAAGAGTAGTGGTGAAATGGAGCAGGAGGTTTTATAACCTGGCTTCCACAGCCTTGGAATTGTGATTGGGGAAGAGGTTATTTTGTTCATTTGGCAAACCATTGACATAATATAATACCTAGTGTCTTGTCCAGTGTGACCGTAAATGACTCAAAAGATGAGTACTCCGATACTTTCCTTAGGAAACTTGTACAATGTAGTTTTAACTCCAAGACTCTAATTGTCTTGATAGTCAGTGCTTTCTTTTTAAACTCATTATGTTTCAGAAGTGTCAGTGACAATGCTAACCGTCAGGGAGAGAGTCTGACCTGGCCACACCATATTGAATAATAAGGCTTTACAGTCAAATAACCTGGGTTTCTCTACTCCAGACTTCACTTATTATGAGGCCAGTAACCTTGGCAGAAGTTACATACTTTGCTGGAAACCACTCCCTCTTACAACAAGTGAATGGCATCCATCAGTTTACTCCCTGAACTTCAATTGCATTAGTAAAGTAATACAACGAATACATAATATGTAATAACATAACTGATCTAAATCTACCTTAAATAGTGCTTGTGAAATGGAATACTGAATGTAAATTCCAGATCAATAACTAGTATGGGATGGGTGTGGTGGCTCACGCCTATAATCCCAGCACTTTTAAGAGGCAGATCACTTGAGGTCAGGAATTCAAGACCAGCCAACATGATGAAACTCCATCTCCACTAAAAATGCAAAAATTAGCTGGGCATGGTGGCTTGCACCTGTAATCCTGGCTACTAGGGAGGCTGAAGAAGAAGAATTGCTTGAACCTGGAAGGTAGAGGTTGCAGTGAGCCGAGATCACACCTCGGCACTCCAGCCTGGAGGACAGAGTGAGAATCAATCTGAAACAAACAAAGCAACTAGTATGACTGGCTAGGGAAATCTGGGGTATTGTGTGTTCAAAATGAAATTATTGTCTGGGAGAGAGAGGTCTTCCCTTTGGTCTTGGGGAATTTCTTAGCTATACGTGAGAACTTAGTAAGATAAGAAAGAGATAACTAGCTTATAAGTTAATACTTCAGTTGTTTAGTAGATGCTGAAATGTTTGAAATGTTTCTTGGCGGCTGAGCACGGTGGTTCACACCTGCAATCCCAGCACTTTGGGAGGCTGAGGTGGGCGGATCACGAGGCCAGAAGTTTGAGACTAGCCTGACCAACATGGAGATACCCCGTCTCTATTAAAAATACAAAATTAGCCAGGCATGGTGGTGCATGCCTGTAATCCCAGCTACTCAGAAGGCTGAGGCAGGATAATTGCTTGAACCCAGGAAGTGGAGGTTACAGTGAACCGAGATTACATCATTGCCCTCCAGCCTGGGCGACAAGAGCAAGAGTCTGTCTCAAAAAAAAGAAAAGAAGAAATGTTTCTTGGCCAGGTGAGGTGGCTTGTGCCTGTAATCCCAGCACTTTAGGAGGCTATAGTGGGAGGATGTCTTGAGTTTAGTAGTTTGAGACTAGCCTGGGCAATACAGTGAGACCCCATCTCATTAAAACAATAATAAGGCTAGGCACATTGGCTCATGCTTGTAATCTCAACACTTTGGGAGGCCGAGGCGGGAAGATAACCTGAGGTCAGGAGTTTGAGACTAGTCTGGCCAACATGGCAAAACCCCGTCTCTCCCAAAAATGCAATAATTAGCCAAGCATGGTGGCAGGTGCCTGTAGTCCCAGCTACTCAAGAGGCTGAGGCTGAAGAATCGCTTGAACACCAGAGGTGGAGGATGCAGAGAGCTGAGATCATGCCAATGCACTCCAGACTGGGCAACCAGTGAGACTCCATCTCAAAAAAACACTCAAAACAATAATTAAAAAAAAAATTGTAAGAAATATTTTTTGGGTGGCTCACACCTGTAATCCCAGCATTTTGAGAGTCCAAGGCGGGTGGATAACAAGGTCAGGAGTTTGAGACCAGCCTGACCGACACAGTGAAACCCTGTCTCCACTAAAAATACAAAATTAGCTGGGTGTGGTGGCACACGCCTATAGTCCCAGCTACTCGGGAGGCTGAGGCAGGAGAATTGCTTGAACCTGGGAGGCAGAGGTTGCAGTGAGCTGAGACTGTGCCATTGCACTCCAGTGTGGGTAACAGAGTGAGACACTGTCTCAAAAAATATATATATATTTTGAACATTTCTCTTTAGTAGATTAACTGTTTACTTTCTTTACACATATTTATTAAATATGCTTACTCATTAATTGAACACATATTTACCGAACACTTTGTTTAGGACTCATTATGTTGCCCAGCTGGATTTGAACTTCTGGTCTTAAGCAGTCCTTCTGCCTCAGCCTCCCAAGTAGCTGGGACTACCAGCATGCACCTGTTAGTGAGCATTTTTAAGGCACTGGGCTCTGCGTAGTCAGGGTGGGACAAAAAGGGATTTTGCAGTAATAACATAAACAATGAGGATGTCACCTTGTCCACTCTGTCCTACTGTAATCACCACGGACTTTCTGAACAGATGTTAATATAACATTCATTTTACAGTTGAGGGAAGAAGTTTAGGGAAATTAAGTGATTTGTCCAAAATCACATTACTAATAAATGACAGCTTCTGGCCTGGAACGGGAAAGCTGGTCTCCAAAGCTCCAGGCTATTCTTCCTGCCCTGAAAGATCAACTGACCGCCCTTTTCTGCCCTTCCTCTCACCCCATGGAGAGTACAGACCCTCTTCTGCTCCAGCAAGTGGCATGCAGCATTATCTGAATAGCATTTGTGTTTCCACTGTTATTGCAGCAACCCTGGAGACAAGAAGGAGCAGGAACAAGAGAGGCAACTCATCCAGAAGGACTTTGCATTCTTATGA